GAGCAGCTGCCCACGGCCGTCCAGCCGGCGGCGGCGGCCGCGGCGTCGCCCGAGGCGGAGACCCAGAGAATTGAGGCTACGGCGGCGGCCGCGATTCCGCCGGTGCCGGCGCCCTCGCACGAGGCGCTGGTCGAGGCCGCCCGAGCCAACGAACCGATGGTGGAGGAAGAGGCCGAAGCGAAGGCGCCCGAGAAGCGGAAGCTGGAGGAGACGCTGACGCCCAACGAGCTGCCGCTGCCGCTGGAGGAGCCGCCGGCCAAGAAGGCGAAGCTCGACACAGAAGAGGCCGCGGCGGAGACCACCCCCACCGGGACTGTGAGTGCGGCGGAGGAGACGGAGATGCCAGATGTGCTCGAACGGGCCCCGCCCGCTGAGAGCGGAGCGGGCACTGCGGCGGTGCTGCCGCCATCGCAGGCCATCCCGCTCGCTGAGGCTCCTCCTCCCGCCATGGACGTCGCTCCCTCAGGTACACACTCCTCCGGCGTGTAATGGTATATATCTGAATATAAACACATGCACATCTTACCAACATATATTTACCTTTATATCTATATATCGATAAAATCAAGGAGCCGAGACGGGCGGACCCACATCAATGCGGGAAACGCAGCGCGTGTGCGACCTCAAAGTGCTCTTGCGGAAGGAGTACTCCCCAAGGTAGCCCCCTAGCCATACGTGCTCCATCAAGGTCATCATGATGATGATGCGCTCACTCACACATGGTTGTTGCGAACACAATAGTTCGTCCCACGAACTGAGCGGCCTCATCGAGAAGCAGCTGCTCGAGGGCATCAACGTGCACAACGGTACCTGCGTGCTATGCGTTTCTTTTGGTTTTTGACAGTATGTCGATGTTGACGTGGTGCATCTGATGTGCACCACCAGATTCGACGGAGGGCTTCGGTTCGCTGGCGGACGTGTTTGCGCGCGGGGTGGATGGCGGCGCGGTGCTGGTGGAGAACGTGCGGGACTACGCGGGCGAGGACTACTTCAACCTCATCACCTACGCCCGACAGGGCAAGGAGTTCGGCAGCGTCCACCGCAACGACGAGGTCCTCAGCTGCGGCCTCCTGCGCGACGTACGCTTCCTCTCCTCCATTGCACACTCCACACCACTCCGCCTGTCGCATGCGTGGCTGACGTTCACTTTTTTTGTTGTGTGGTCCGTACGCAGGGCAACCTGAGCGCCGTCCGGGCCGAGGACCAGCACCTGATGGAGCGGCTCATGCACGTCCACCAGCCCATCGTCCCCATCAGCGGCAGCGCCTCGTCTTGAAAGAAAGAAAGAAGAAGAAAGAAAGGACTGCATTGTCAACATCTTGACTTGAATGAAGAAGATGTTCCTGTTATTGACACCACACCTGAACCCGTTTGTTGCCGCTGTCGACCACCACGACGTGGCCCGTCGCTGGGTCGACCGCTACAGCCAGAGGGGAGTTGAACTGGGCGGGGCCGGCACCCGCAGAGCCGAAGGCGCGCAGGTAGGCCCCGTCGGCGCGCCACACCTGCACCCGGTGGTTGCCCCAATCGGCCACGATGATGTTGCCCGTCGCCGCGTCGACCGCCACGCCCTCGGGGCACATGAACTGACCACGGCCACGACCGCGGGAGCCGAAGGTGCGCACGAAGGACCCGTCACCGGCGCGCCACACCTGCACCCGATGGTTGCCCGAGTCGGCCACGATGACGTTGCCCGTCGCTGCGTCGACCGCGACGCCCGTGGGCTGTTGAAACTGGCCGGGGCCAACACCCTCGGAGCCGAACGAGCCAAGGAAGGACCCGTCGGTGGCGTGCCACACCTGCACCCGATGGTTGAAGTGGTCGGCCACGAAGATGTGGCCCGCCGCCTCGTCGACCGCCACGCCGCGCGGGCATTGGAACTGGGCGGGGCCGGAACCGCGAGAGCCGAAGGTGCGCACGAAGGTCCCGTCACCGGCGCGCCACACGTGCACCCGGTGGTTGCCGTGGTCGGTCACGACGATGTGGCCCTCCGCCGCGTCGACCGCCACGCCCCAGGGCCACCGTAGCTGGGCCGAACCGGGGGCTTCCAAGGTGCGAACGCACGACCCGTCGTCGGCGCGGCGCAGGTGCACCTGTCGACTGCCGCAGTCGGCCACGACGATGTGGCCCGCCGCCACGTCGACCGCCACGCCACATGGGCTTCCCAACTGATCACCCGAACCGAGAGTGCGCTGGGTCCCTGGCATGCCGGCAGTGTCGTCCAGCAGAACACCACGGGCAGCGGCGGCAGCCATGGGCCGCTCCAGGCGACCCGAGGAGCACACCACCTGGACCCACGTGTCTTCGCTTGCGAATGCGATGCTGCTGCTGCTCGCCTGCGTTCCACTCACCGCCGCCGCAGTCCTCGCCGCCTGGCAGGCTGCCGCCGAATCGCCCCAAGTGGCTGACCGACCGAGCCCGCCGCGCTGCTGCTGCTGCTGCTGGAGGGCCTTCCCGGCTGCCGCCAGTCGCGTCTGGGCCTCTGCCAGCTCGACCCGCCGCTCGGCCGCCACTTCTGCCCTCGCGCGCTCCCACTCGTCCACCTCGGCGCCGAGCGCCCTCTCGCGCTGCGCCACGGCCTCGCGCATCTGGTCAAAGTGCTGCTCGATGGCCGCACGCGCCTCGCGCACGCTCTCCTGTTCGCCGGCCTCGCGCGCCGCCTGGCCCTCCATGGCGGCCTCGACCTCGCCCATGGCGGCCTCGACCTGGGCCAGCTCGACTCGCGCGGCCTCGCGCACTCGCTCCTCGGCCGCCTCGATGGTGACGGCGTCGTGGCCCTTGTGCGGTCCGGCCAAGAGGCACACCACGCACACGGCCACGCCGTCGCGCTCGCACCACATCTCCACCTTCTTGGCCTGGTGGTGCTCGCATGCGGGGCGCGGCTCGGGCGCGTGGGTTGACGCCACACGCGTGTGGCTCCGCAGCGCAGGGAACGCGTGGATCTGGTGATCGCACGACACGCACAGGTGGGCGCCGCCACACTGCTCGCAGAACTTCTCCGCCGGTTGGCTGCAGTTGGCGCACTTGAGCGCCGAGGCCTTTCCAGTCGGCCGCGGCTGCCTCAGAGCCGCCGAGGAGTAGAGGAGATCGATGAGGTCAAAGTTGCGTGGCAGGCCCTTCACGCCCGCCGCCTCGCCGTCGACCAGAAGAACACGCGTCATCGTGCGGCACTTGGGGCACCGCAGACTCGTGGCTCGTGGCTCCTTCGGTTCGGGGTTGGTGGGGGCGGGGGCGGGGGTGGAGGCATCAAGGAGGTGTGTGAGGAACGCGGTGCAAAAGGAGTGGCCGCACTTGAGCAGACGCGGCACGCGGTCGGCCTCGCTCTCGCTGAAGGCGAGAAAGCAGATGGAACACGACGTGCCCACGTCCTCCTCCTCTTCAGCAGCCGCGGCAAGCGTCGTGTAGTGGTTCATCTCCTCTCCTCTCCTCTCTTCTTTGGCGTACAAAGACAATGCTAGCGAGTAGCGAGAGCAACCGGCGCCGGTTGCTGGCTTGCGTTTTCGAGTACCGACGAATGGTGGAAAAGTAAAACAAAAAATAATAAAAAATAAAAAAGATTTTAAAAATGGTGATGTGCGTGTAGCGTGCCAACGGGGGGCGTCGTTTACTGGTTTACTGGATGGCACCCTCCTTCTTGAGGGCGGCCACGAGCTCCTGGACGGACTCCACGATCTTGCCGGCCTCGCGCTTGGGCGGCTCGGTCACCTTCACCACCTTCACGGGCGTCGCGGTCTCCACGCCCAGCTCCTGCGGCGTGAACCTGCGCCAACAATCACCGCCACACGGTCAGCACATCGTTGTGCGGTGGTGCGTGTGCGGTGGTGCGTGTGTGTGTGTGCGGTGGTGCGGTGAAGCGTGTGATGTGCGCGTTGTGTTGACGATATGAGACGCGTACTTTTGGAGAGGCTTGGACTTGGCCTTCATGATCTCGGGGAGCTTGGCGAAGATGGGCTCGTTGAGGCGCAGATCGCAGGTGATGACGGAAGGCAGCTTGAGCTTGAGTGTCTGCAGGCCCGTGTCGGTCTCCCGGGTGCACTCGACCTCCTCGGGCGCAAACTTGAGGCGGTACGCATGCGTGCCCTAACCGACGATGCCACCAACAAAAGTGTAAGCAAACCGCACACGGCGCACACGACACGGCGCATACGCGCATACCTGCGACCAGTCCATCATGCCGGCGAGCATCTGGCCGGTCTGGTTGGCGTCGTCGTCGATGGCCTGCTTGCCCAGGACCACCACCTGGGGCTGCTCCTTCTCCGCGAGCTTCTTGAAGATCCGTGCCACGGCGATGGGCTGCAGCTCCTCGTCCGTCTCCACGTGAATGCCACTATTCATACATATGCATTACCCCGTTGAGTTGGTGCGTGTCGTGTCGTGTGTCGTGTGTGTCGTGTGTGTCGTGTGTGTCGTGTGTGTCGTGTGTGTCGTGTGTGTCGTGTGTGTCGTGTGTGTCGTGTGTTGTTGGGGAGGCCGCAGCTGCGTACCGGTCGGCACCCATGGCGAGGGCACGCCTGATGGTCTCCTGGCACTCCTTGGGACCTGTACGCGTTGGTGGGTGGTACGTGATTCAGAATCGCGAGTAGCGCCACACAAATTGATTGCTCTTGTGGCACGAGTGTTCTGTGGGGGGACGTACCAACAGATACGGCAACAATTTCCTCGAAGCCGCCCTCCTTCTTCATCTTGACTGCCTCGGTCACTGGAGATGACGAATGAATGAGAAATAATTTAAATTGATTAATTGAATAAAGAGCTGATTGAATTCAAAATGAAGCAAAATAGAATCAGGAGGTAATTTGTGCAATACTGAAGGGGGAGGGGCGGAGAGTTATGTGTACCGGCAATTTCGTCGAAGGGGTTCATGCTGAACTTAACATTCTGAGTGAGCACCCCGGTGTTGTCGGGCTTGACCCTGATCTTGACGTTGTAGTCAATGCACCTCTTCACGCCAACAAGCACTCGCCTCTTCATCTCTCGCCTCGTTTCAGTAGATGCACAAGAACAAAGACAAAAGGCAAAGTTCGTAATGGCGCGAAATCATATATTTTCCTCTTTGTTTTCTCTCTTATCTCCGTTGGTGTGTGCGCTGTGCTTCTTCTTGTTCTTCTTGTTCAGTTGATGGTGAGAGGGACGAAATGTAGCGATCACGACTGTGAGAAGGCTCCTCGACCATGTGGAACAGAGGGTCTCGCCACGCACACCCAGTGACGGCACGGAGTCGTGCTCTACAGCAGCCAGTCCGGGGCGGTCCTCGCCGAATCCTCCCCCACCCGGAAAGGTGGGAGACATCAGCTTCGCCTCGCACGTATTACGTTCGGCCGCTAATACTATCATTAATTTACCTCTCTGCCTTGTCCGCTTCATAAACATCATCCTCCCCTCCGCCATTATGGGACCCCTCTCGCTCTTCCGGAAGAGATAAATACAAAAATAAATAAATAAATAAATAACTTATGTTTGCTTCGCGAACATGACCAAACTGTTTGGGCCAAAGCGTAGTGCTTGTAATATTTCTTGTTTTTACAAATGAATGCTGTAGTGGTGGTTACACGGAGTGGGGCACTTAGCCGCGCTTGGCGACGCCGCCCTTGGACGAGGGCAGGTACTTCTTCTGCTCCTCCAGCTCCTTCTCCATCCACCAGATGGCGCCGTGGCACGAGCCCGGCTTGGCCTTGACCTCAGCCAAGTAGGCCTCGGCCTCCTCCACCTTCTGCCCCGCGGCGTCGAGCGACTCCTCGGCCGCCTGGCGCTGGGCCTCGGCCTGGCGCCGCGCCGACTCGGCCTCTCGTCGGGCCGCCTCGGCCACCTGACGCGCCGCCTCGGCCTCCTGGCGGGCGGCCTCGGCGATCTTGGTGGCGGCCTCGAAGGGGGCGCGTGCCTTCTCGGCGCGCTTGAGCGCGGCCTCGAGCGTGATCTTGGCCTTGCGCAGCGGCAGCGGGTCTTCGGCCAGGTGCTGCGCCAGCTCGGCCTTGGCCTTGTTCTGCTGCACGATGCCGCCCTCCGTGCTCTTGCGCTGCAGCTCGGCCGTGCGGCTGTCGCGCGCCGACTCCTGCGCGTTGACGTCGGCCAGCGCCGCGTCCACCTCCTCCTGCGCCGCCTGTGCAAAAACAATAAATAAATAATAAATTTAAATAAATAAATAAAACGTGTTTGGTGTGGAGGGTGCGAGGTCGTACCTTGAAGGGCGCCTCCTGCTCGCGGGCGTCGGCCTCCCTGGCGAGGGCCTCCTGCTCTCGCGCCTTGGCCTGGTCCGCGCGGGCCTTGGCCTCGGCCTCCTGGGCCTTGGCGTGGGCCTCGGCCTGGCGAGCGAGGTTGGCCTGACGCTCGGCCTCGGCAAACGCAGCCGACACCTCATCCAGCAGCTTCTGCGCCTTCTCAATCTCCTCGCTGTTGTCGCCTATTGTTGCAAATAAAATCCATCAATTAAAAAAAGTAACATTATAAATATTCAAATATTCAAACAAAGAAATAATTTAAAATAATGATTGCGGGGGGGGGGCTACCAGAGGTGTTGACGAGGACGTGCCAGTCGACTTCGTAGCGCCAGAGGATGTAGTGGGTGAGGGGCACGGCCTTGGGCCGCTCGGTCTGGCCGATGGCGCCGGTCTTCCTCAGCCGCTCGCGCAGGGCCACCACCGTGAGGGTCTCGCCGATCTGTTCGAGGAACCGATGTGCGTTGAGCTCGTCGAGGGCCGTGCCCTCGGCGTGGCGCTGGGCGTCGAGGTCGGCGCAGAGCTGGACGTGCTTCCACAGCTTCGCGGCCTCGGCCTGGTAGGTGTCCCAGAAGGCGTTGAGGAACCACACGGCCTGCTGCTTGTAGGTGAGCGAGCAGAGGTGAGCGAGCTTCTCCAGGTCGTTGGCTCCTTCCAGCTTGTTCACGGCCATTTTACTTTTTGTGCGTGCGTGTGCGACGAGTGCGCGAGTGTGTGCGGTTGTGATGAAGGATGGAGGAAAGAGAAGATGAAGAGGTTTGGGTCGGTGTCCAGCCCAACTGTTCAAAGTCCGGGTGGTGTCTTGGGCACCAGCGTTGAAAGAGTCTTCTTGTTGGCGGTTGGTTGGCCTCCTCCAATGGCAGTGCGCGGTTTATTAGGGCAACCCGAGTAGGGCGAGACGAGGGACGACACTCACACGACATCAGACACGCATCACCCGCACACTCCATCGCCAACACCACACTCTCACTCTTGCTCTCTCACACATACAAGAAGATGTCGTTCTCCCTCACTGGCAATGACTCCGAGAAGCTGAACCAGCTGTGCGGCCGCACCTACAAGGAGCAGGTGGTGTGGTTCCTCAACGCCTTCTGGGACCAGTTCCAGGCCGACGCTGAGAAGCTGTGGAAGCACGTCCAGCTCTGCGCCGACCTCGACGCCCAGCGCCACGCCGAGGGCACGGCCCTCGACGAGCTCAACGCGCACCGGTTCCTCGAACAGATCGGCGAGACCCTCACGGTGGTGGCCCTGCGCGAGCGGCTGAGGAAGACCGGCGCCATCGGCCAGACTGACAGGCCCAAGGCCGTGCCCCTCACCCACTACTTGCTTTGGCGCTACGAAGTCGACTGGCACGTCCTCGTCAACACGCATGGTACGCCACCAATTCATTCTACACAAATTGGGGGGGGTAGAGAATGTGCAGAAAAAAAGGACAATTTGGAGGGAAGAAGATGGTGAATGATTAGTAATCAATCTCTCTTTCTGCAGGCGACAACAGCGCCGAGATCGCGGAGGCGCAGAGGTTGCTCGATTCCGTATCGGCTGCCTTCGCCGAGGCCGAGCGCCAGGCCGAGATTGCCCGCAAGGCCGAGGCCTACGCTCGTGAGCAGGAGGCTCCCTTCAAGGTACCGCCACGCTCACTACGCCAGCGAACGAATGCATAAATAACAAATAAATAAATAAATAAAAAAAGTAAATAAACACACTAACCATTTCCTTGTATTTGTTTTTGCACAGGCGGCGCAGGAGGAGGTGGACGCGGCGCTGGCCGATGTCAACGCGCAGGAGTCGGCGCGCGACAACCGCACGGCCGAGCTGCAGCGCAAGAGCACGGAGGGCGGCATCGTGCAGCAGAACAAGGCCAAGGCCGAGCTGGCGCAGCACCTGGCCGAGGACCCGCTGCCGCTGCGCAAGGCCAAGATCACGCTCGAGGCCGCGCTCAAGCGCGCCGAGAAGGCGCGCGCCCCCTTCGAGGCCGCCACCAAGGTCGCCGAAGCCGCCCGCCAGGCCTCCGAAGACGCCCTGGCCGATGCCAGCCGCAAGGTGGAGGAGGCTGAGGCCTACCTGGCCGAGGTCAAGGCCAAGCCGGGCTCGCCCCACGGCGCCATCTGGTGGATGGAGAGGGAACTGGCGGAGCAGAAGAAGTACCTGCCCTCGTCCAAGGGCGGCGTCGCCAAGCGCGGCTAAGCAAGTAGTAGGGTGGCCAGCAGATAGATACACGAACACATGTGGGATGTACATACACGCGTTGTCATCATGTAAGTAAAACCTTGTCAACACCTTTTCCAAGAGTGTTCTTTGTATTTGCCTCCGTGGGCTGGGTTTTCGCATCCTGCTGTTGTGGTTTGTTTGATAATGCAACCAACTCTCTTTTTTCCTCTTCATACATCCATTCTGTCCGTCGTCATCATCATCACGACTGCTACTGGTCGGTGGTTACGAGCCGAAGTTGCGCATCCGCTCCTGAATCGAGGGCGACACGCTCACCTGACCGCCGATCATGCTCGAGGCCTTGGCGGGCTGCTGCGCGTAGGTGACGTTGTTGTTGGTCGACGCCAACGACGAAGACCCCGAGGAGCCGAGTGAGGGCGAGGCGGGTGGTCGGCTGTAGGCCACCGGTGGCGCTGTGGAGGCGAAGGGCGGCGCCGCGCCTGAGACGGTGTGCGACGGGTTGCGGGTCTGCTGTTGCTTGGCCGCGGCCGAGGGCGACGGTCCGCGGGTGGAGGCCGACACGCCCGTGGGCGGCACGAACGGCTTGATGAGCTTGCTGGCGCTCGCCGACGATGATGTGGTGGAAGAGGAAGAAGATGCAGAGGGAGTGGAGGAGGAGGATGAAGAGCTGTTCTGCATGCTCTTGGTGATCATCGCGGTCACCGACGACGTCTGCACTTTCGACACTTCGTCTACATCGAGCGAGCATGGTCAGACTCGCACATACCACCGCACGCACACGCACGCACGCGCACAACCGCACACATCACCGCACACGCAAACTAGTTTGCACTTACCCTTCTTCATGACCCGAGCGCCTCGGCGCGGGATGCTTGGATCATCGAGCGAGGACGTCGCGAGGGGCGATTGGGCCGGCGGATACGTGTTCGAGGCGTCCTGGGTCCCGCTGCCGGCCAGCGGCAGCCACTTCTTGCCGACGGTCTCCCCTTCCGGCTGTCGCGTCGGCAGCGGCCGGCCCTGGTTGGGGCTGGCCGGGGCGGCGGCGGCCGGGTCGCTGCCGGTAAGCTGCGCTCGGCCCAGGCCGGAGCCGGCCGGAATGGGCGGGAGGCCGGCCGGCAGCGTGGGCGACGGCTGCGCCGGCGGCGGCCGCTGCGGCGCCGGTCTGCGCGGGAGGATCTCGCTGCCGCTGCCGCTGCCGCTGCCGTCGTGGGGCACCGTCATCGTTCGCGTCTGGTACGGGCCGGAGCTCGACGCGGCCTGCGCGCCGTAGTACGACAGCTGGGCCGGCCGCGGCAGTGGCTGTGGCGGTTGTTGGCTGTTGAGCGAGGAGGAGGTGGAGTTGTGGGGCGCGGGCGGCAGCGGTGGCGGCGGCCCGGTAGGCAGCGGCGCGTAGGCCGCGGCATTGTAGGGCGGCAGCGCCGGGGGCGTCGACGAATAGGACGCTGTGGGGTGCGGAGGCAGCGGTGGTGGTGGGCCGGTGGGCAGCGGCGCGTTTGAGGTGTTTGTGGCGGTGGCTGTGGCGGCGGCCGGCTGCGCGGCGGGGGTGGAGTTGGGCTTCCAGCCCTGGGGGAGGATCTTCATGTGGTTCCAACCCGACTTTTGGTGGATCTCTGCCGGAGGCGTGCTCAGCGGTGCTGGGTCAGGGAATTTCTGTGGACACATGCGCGCATGACGTCATCAATTTTGCCAGTATGCGGTTCCACGCTCTCTACATAGAATAAATAATGTGTTATGGGGGAGGGCCGAAATGTGATCGTACGGCGAGCAGCTCGTCGTAGTGCAAGATGAGGGTCTCCATGGTCCGGTTGGAGTGTGGTGTGTATTCGACGAGGGCGCCGAGATCATCGCCCGGCGGTCGAATCAGATTGGGCGCAAACACCTGATGCCACACGCGCAAGCGCCGGTGAGCTCCACTTCTTGAAAAGAAAAAGAAAAGGCAAGGCCCAATGGAGCCGGAAAGACGTACCGTGGCGAGGTTGGCGGCTGTCATGAGGTTGTCGCTGGCGTAGGACGAGACGCGGACAAGGAAAGAGATGAGGTACTTGGTCAGGATTTGGTTCTGCTCTGGCAGCATGTCCAGCACGTTGGCGAGCTGTTGCCTCCGCATGGTCTCTTCTGGTATGCCTGTTTAACACACACAACACACAACGCACAACACACAACACACAACACAAGAGAGTGTTATGATCATGGTGGTATTATCTGTAAAACGGAAGCTATTACAATAAGCAAATGATCATAAATAGAAGGTGTTGTTACCGATAGCGGCGATGAAGCAGTCATACAGCTCGAAGGTGCACAAGGGCTCTGCAGAGGGAAGAGCCAGACGACGGTCGTGTCAAGTGAGCACGTTGCGGCGCGTGCGATGCAAGACAGTGCACTCACTCGGCGGTAACGTACCGGGAAGCTCGCGCAGGTACTGCTTCATAAGGCCACACACCGTGTGCGGGTCCTGTATCTTGGAGAGGTCGACATCCTCGCCTACACACACGCACAGGTTCAGCGTCTGGAGAGAGAGAGAGAGAGGGCAGCAGAGGAGCAAAGTAGGCGACGCGGCGGGCAGGGTGGGTGTGGGTGTAATGGTTGTTACCCTTGTCAATGCGCTGCTTCATGTCCTGTATCTGGGTGTGATTTCCCGACTTGCGAAACAGGCCCTCCTGTTTCAGCACCTCTGCAGGGAGACGAAGAAAGAAAAAGAGGAGAGAAGAGGGAGATGTTAGAGGGGCCAAAGGGG